GGAGGAAGGGGGGTGAGGCTCCACACCTCCCTTTCAGAGAGCCAAGGGGAGGTTGTCCGCGTCCTGAATGATTTACGTGATCCAAAAATCCGCTCTCTAGCCCCTCTGCAGGGGCTACACCAGGGTGGGCCTCGGGTTTCAGAGACAAGAAAGCAAGGCGCAGCTCTGGGGGCTTGTTTCCGCTGCCCAAGTCATACAGCAGAACGGGGAGGTTCAGCACCCAAGCCCTTACACGGGCCCTACCGACCGATTCCACCCGGCTAGAGGTCCTCTCAGGAAGACAGGAGAAAGCTTGTCACGTGGGAGTGCCACTTCCAGGCGGAAGAGCTGGAACATCAATCCCTTCCTGCTAACACGGCCAGCAGCCTCGCAGCAGCCTAAAAGCTTCTCCAGGCGCGAAGAGCAAGGAAAACAAAGCTGGAGCTGCTCCAAACACACCTGGCAAGTGAGTGACCACCAACGGGTCAGCCTGGAGGCAGGATGCAAGGCCGGGCAGCTGGCAGGGCTGAAGTTCTCCTCTTCATCATTCCCCGCCTTGCCTCCAGCCTGGCTCGTCTGTTAAAAGGGGAAATTGGGTGCTGAGGACAGAGGGGTTCTTCAGATTTCCTCTGTTTTGTGGGTAGGTACAAGGTGCTTGCGCCTGGCTGCTCTAGAAACCACGGTGAGTTTATCAGCAGGGCCCAGATCACCGACGCCACCAGCCTGCCGGGTCAGAAAGATCAGGGAGAGTCTGGAAGTTTCCCCTCACCTTGTGGCTCCGGGTTTGACCCCCAGCATGTCCCAGCTGTCCTTGCTGTTGCGGATCCTGCGAATGGCATCCGCCTGCTCTTTGGTGAAGCCGACCCCCAGGCTGGAGGGGGGGCGCTTCCCGCCGTTGTCGCACAGGTCGATGATGGCGGAGTAAAAAGTCTGGGGGGGTGGAGGACACAGGGAGGAGTTAGTGGGAAGGAACGGACCCCCCAGAGGTGGTGGCAGTGCCCAGGAGACCCCACTGCCCTCGCTGGCTGCGGGCTCATCCTCTGAAGGACGGGGGGAACCACTGCTGGATGTTCACTCCCCACTGCCTGGGCTGCAGTGGGGCTGAGAGACCCCAGTCTGGGGTCCCTGCAAGGACCATGGGACAGACGGAGGAGGAGGCCAGGCCCCAGCTTTATCTCAAACCCACTCCAGCTTGAGTGCTAGACCTGGATAAGTGCCATGGGCCTCTCTGCTTTGTGCTCCCAGGGCAGCAAGAGGGATCATCAGCTCTGAGCAAGGCGATCCTAGGGCCAGCTCAGGGCCAAGATGATCCTGAGCGAGACAGCAACAGCTTCCTCAGGATGACATTTCCCTGGGAAGACACCTCTGGGGCAGAGGGCCACCAGGTTTTGTGGGATCCAGGCTGTTCAGGGAATATCCTGCCAGCAAACCCTGCCTCAGCATGGTGTCTGCCAACCCCACCTTCACTATAACGCCTCACCTGAAACATCTCGTTGATTCCTTCTCCCGTTTGGGCCGACGTCTCGAAGTAAAGAAAGCCCCGGCTCTCTGCCCAGAGCCGCCCCTCGCTTTCATCCACGCTGCGGTGCTTGGTGCAGTCGATCTGGAGCGGGAGGAAAGGCAGAGCTCAGAGCCCAGCCAAGGGTCTGCAGGGGCAGCTGGAGGAACACAGCTCCAAGGCTGAGCACAGAATCCCAGAAGGGTCAGGGGTCAGAAGGGACCTCTGGAGATCACCTAGTCCAACCCCCTGCTAAAGCAGGGTCACCCAGAGCAGGTCACACAGGGCTGCACCCAGGCAGGTTTTGAATATCTCCAGGGAAGGAGACTCCACAGCCTCCCTGGGCAGCCTGTTCCAGGGCTCTGCCACCCTCAGGGTAAAGA